ATGATGATGATGATGATGATGATGATGATGATCGATCGATCGATCGATCGATGATGATGATGATGATGATGATGATGATGATGATAATACCAGTAATGGACACGATGATTCGAATGAATGAAAAGTAAAATTTCATAAGTGTTTCCGGCTAACGATGATCACAGCGATAGAAATCGTCAAATTGCGAAAGAAAGAAAAGAATGAAAGAGACGAAAAAATGGAATTGATAAGAAATGCGACAAACCGGTTTTTTTTCTTTTTATCTGAAGAAATCATCAAAATGAAATGAATGTTCAACGCCGATCATTGATGAATGAATGACAAAAATTGGGAGGCAAAAAAAAAAATTTCCGTCCAATCATCTTCCATTCCTCTTTCCGATCAAATATACTGAATGATGTTCACTCTACCCGGATATGATGAAAAAAGGAAAGGTGAAAAGTCATAAATAGCGGGTAACGGAGAAAATTAGCGCAGTCCATTTCAATTGCAATGAACAAAATGGTTCATTGCTTAAGTAAATTCATCCAAATTTATTTTTTAATATTTGATTAAATCTTTTAATTCTGAATTATCAGTAATTTATTCACTTTTATCATATTTATTTTTCACTCGATCTATTTGACGTCAAAATTAGTAAATTTTGACAAAATTTCAAACTTATATGTAAATATTGCGCTTTTTTTTTTGTCAATTATTGGATGCTATTCAACGTCCGAATTCATATGCATTATATAGAAAAAAAAAGATTTTTTTTCAAATATATTAGAAAACGATTCTATTTCTAATATATTGAAAAAAAATCATTTAATTTCAAATTAATACTTTTTTATCTAATTGTAATCATTCAATACTAAAATTTGTGCTCAATAACAAAATTTCAATATATTCGATGCTTACCAAATTTCGTCATATTTTTGTAGAAGCTGTTAATTCCCATGTCTATATTTGATAATTATTTTGCGCATCTGTAAATAAATACTTTTGTTTGTTGGAAATGATAAAACCGTTTAGGAATTTAATTACAGCGAAATTAGAAAATATTTCTAAGCTACCAAACGATGAACAATTATAGCACTATCATCTTTATATTATGTTTCACTGGTAAGACTTTTTTTTCCTTTCATTTTATTCTTTTACAATTGATAATTCGAAGATTTTTGCAAAAAACTATGATTTCCTATCAGTGAAATCAAATATCAAATCGATATCAATGCAATTTTTTTATATAACATAATCAAGTTTGTCCGTATAGTTTCAAATGAGAAGCTGTTAATGGTTGAACTAAGTTCAAAATAATCAAGTTTAATCAATTTAGATATGCATACTAATTTGTAAGATGATATATGAGTAATTAATTCATTTCAAATTCCGATTTCTTTTTTTTCACCTTTTTGTGCAACTTCGCGTGAAATTTGTTGGTAAAAACTAATAATAATTTCTTTTAACCTTTTCAATATCATTTCGTGTAATGAATATAAAAGAATACTAAAACTTTTTGGTCAGCTTTTTTTTTAGTTGAAAAACTTATTTTCTATTTTCATAAAATATTTCAAGTAATGCAAACAGATGTGGTAAACATACAAAATATTAAAAAAATTCATTTGATTTTGCTGTTTTTTAAACAGATTTTAAAACGTTGCCTGATTCTGTATAATTAATTAACTGGTTTGACAATGGGTATTGACAATGAGTTTATTTAGCAAAGTAATTAGCACTACCATGCAAGAGATTTTTGTAACTTTGAAGGAAAAATCCAAGCTTGGCATTCAACGGATCTTAATTTAAATTGGATTTTACGTTTAAATTTAGTTTAAAAGTAAAACTGTGATATCTGAATGGATTAAATTTCAAGTTCCCGATTTAAGAAATTTGATCATTTGCTTTAAATGAAAGTAAATGGTTCATGATGTCTGTTAGCCAGAACTTGTCATTCTTCAAACTGACTGATAATGAAATTGGCTGATATGAGGACTATCAGAAAAAAAAGAAAAAGAAAAAGATTAATTCGGGAATTCTCAGGAAATAATGCTCGACTTTTGCGGTAAACAATGACTCTGTATGAAGCATAACATTCGGCATTTATACTCTTCTAATAAAACAAATACTTGACATTTTCATTTTACTTTTTCATTAGTTAATTGAAGGAACGTTACAAAACGAAATTTAAGAGAAAAAAATTTAAAAAAAATGTCAAAAAGTTTTCGATTTGTAAATTATTTTGCAGGTGCATTATGCGCAATATGTGATGAGGGATGGCGGTATTCGCCACATTCTCGAAAATGTTACAAATTTTTCCCAAAAGCGATAACCTGGACTGAAGCTGAATTTCATTGTCTAATACAAAATGGTCATCAATTGTCAATACATAGTTCAATGGAGAATAAATTTGTTAAAGGTAATACACATTCTATTTGTTTTTCCTCTTCTTTGTTTGTAACATTAATAGTATAATTTAAAAAACAAATTTGAAATGACAGTTATATTTTTATGAAATGGTATGCCATAATAAAGTTTTAAAAAAATTTTTCGTTTATGTATGGAATGAATTAGAAAATAAAATTGATAATGCGAACATTTTTTCCAGATGAATTATTAAATGAATATAACTAAAGTTATTTATTCTTTCAAATTTCAATTGTATCAGAATTTTACAAAAATTGGCTTTAACGTAATAGTTAATAGTAAACGCTTGAGCGATAAAAAAATTCCAGGATTATAAATTGGAAAAAATGAAGGAACATAGTTAATAAATTACACTTCAAAATTTTCAAACTAAAATTATTGTTGTTGTCAACGCGCAAATAATGTGTGTATTCGTCTTTCACTTTAATCATATATTTAAATTTAATTTCAAGATTAAAGTTACCAATTTAATCTTTATTATAAATTATTTCAGAAATAGCTCGTGATGCGTCCGAAATTTGGCTTGGTAGCGCAAAATTTGGTAGGATGACTGAATACGTTTGGTCTGATAATACATCATTCAATTTTAAAGGCTGGGAAAATGGTTCATTTTTAAATTACTCACCCTTTCTTATCTTTGTATTGATTGCAAGTGATAAGTACAATGAACTAAAAACTTTTTCTTTCAAACGAATTTTATTAAAACTTTTGCAATTCAGATTTTTTCTTTCTATCTCTAATCAAAAAACCATAAATGATTTAATTTCGTAAAGTGTGAGCACATTTGATAGTGGAATATTTGATGAAATGACCATATACAAATGCAACCAATCATCATTACTAACATTTACCTGCAATTCATAATTTACTAATTGAAATAAATTTCGTTAAATTTAACTGTTTTACCATAATTAGAAAAATTAAAAATTTCCGTGAAATTATTGCTAAATTTTATAGGTAAACCACCGGTAAGCAAATATATTAGGCCATGTACCAAAATGAATGTTGCAAATGGTGAATGGTTTCAAAGTTGTTGCCGAATAGTTGCGCCATATATTTGTCAAAAAAATCCACAACGTGGTGAACTTCACAGTAGCAAGGTAAATAATTAATTAATTATTTGCCAATTTTATTCAACTTTTGTAGAATTCTCTATTTTTCCTTTTTTTTTTGAAGCAAAACGAATATATGAACGACAACTTTGCAACTGTAAGTGCAAAAAGCAATCAATGTTGCTATTGTTTAGATTATAGCTCACTTCATAATTACTATTGTCTTGAAAATATGCATATATTTATTCCTTTAGAAAATAATATTTAACCATAGCTGAATACTTTATCACAATGCATGATAATTTATGATATCATATTTCGTTATAGAAGAATTATGATACGACTCGAACGGATAGAAAAAATTCGACTTTCAGTGAAAGGTGGCGATTTCTGTTGCGGAAATAATAGTAATAATAATAATAAGAACAATAATAATAATAATAAAAAATAATAATAATAATAATAATAATAATAATAATAATAATAATAATAATAATAATAATAATAATAATAATAATAATAATAATAATAATAATAATAATAATAATAATAATAATAAT